GAGGGCAGGGCAGGAGTGTGGGGAGGGGAGAGCTGCCTGCAGCCTCGTGGAGCCCAGTGCCCAGGCTGGCAGTGAGCGCAGGCAGCGGCTGCGCAAGGCTGCAGCCTCTGCCGCGGTCTCCAGCTTCAGGCCTTGCTTCCTCTCGGCCGCCGACAGCCCCGGGGGGCTCTCACCAGGCAGCCGAGCCCCAGCAGCCCTTCCCAAGACCCAGCCACTGCCCAAAAGAGGCTGCACCCAGCTGTCTGCAGCACGTGCTTTATTGTGGGGCGCCCTCCCCTGCTCCAGCAGCAGCGCTGTCAGGCAGTCTCGCAGTGCTGGGTGGGGCATAGGGGAGGGTCCTGCCTACGGAGGGCGGAGGGATGAGGCCAGCAGCCACAAGTCGATTCTCACTCACCAGGAAGTTGAAGGTGGCGCAGGCGTTGGCCTATGAGAGGGCAGAGAGGGGTCAGGGGGGGCCCTGTTCCCAGCCTGCAGCTCCCTGGCTCCTGAGGCCTCCCCCGGCAGGGAGCATTAGGCCTTCCCGCTGCTGCAGTGCAGTGGCCACCGCAGCGCTGAGGGGACGCAGCTGCCTGCACAGGGGTGAGGGTGCGTCCCACCAGCCAGGGCTGCGCAGCGCTCTTGTACCCCCGTACCGTGTCCTGCACCTCCACTGCGATGCCCTGCTGCCGCACCTCGCTCAGGACAGCAGGGTCCACCTGCTCCATCCGGTCACCTGTGCCCAGCACCAGGATTTCTGCATGAAAGCAGCCAGTTAGCAGTGAGTGCCAGTGACAGGCCAGGCCGCAGGGTGGGGTGGGGTTAACACGTCTCCTCTCAGGGGAGAGAGGTCGCCAGTGGGATCCTGCAGGGCTCTGTGCTGGGGCTGCCCAAATTACCAAGGGCTGAGGCCAAGGGAGAGAAGCTGCAGAAAGCACCAAGGCCAGCAACTGGGCAAAATGAAACAGCAGAGGAACTTCAGTGCTGGCCAGCTCAAGGTGCTGCACAGGGGAAACAACTCGGGCACAGAGGCAGCGCCGAACTCGCTCTTATGACTTGGTCACCGACATCAGCACAGAGCTCTGAGAACGTCAGCTCCACGCACAACAGCTGCCAAAAAAAACCCACTAATGCATCCTGCACCGTTGGGAAGGGAACTGAAAACAAAAGGGAGGCCAAATCATGCTGCTGTGCAGACCTTGGGGCACCCGCATCTCAACACCTGTGCGCACATCTGGTCTCTGCCTCTCCAGGAAAGGTGGTAGAGGCTTAGACTCTACAGTTTGGAGATGGGGGGATATGATGGAGGCCTACACAAATCATGCAGGATGTGGACCAAATAAACAGGTTGCTGCTGTTCACCACATCCCAGAAGACTGGAACTAGGGGCACCTGCTGCCATGGGCAGGAGACAGCTTTAGCCTTAATGAGGGGAAGGACTTGTGGGAGGGCAACATGGCAGTGTGCAGGCAATCCACAAACTTTCTGGGGTGCTGGAGACAAGTTTCTGGTGCAAGTGTTGACGCAACCAACTAGGGGCCATGCTCTCCTTGAACTGCTGCTCACAAACAAGGAAGACTTGGTGGAGGATGTAGTAGTGGATGGGAACTTGGGCAGCAGCAACCACAAGATGACTGAGTTCAAGATCCTGAGGAAAGGAAGGATGGAGAGCAGCAGAGTAAGGACCCTGGACTTCAGAAAAGCAGAATTCAGCTTGCTCAGGGAACTCATGGGCAGGAGCCCTGGGAAGCCAAACTGAGGGGGAGAGGAGTCCAGGAGAGTTGGCTGGACTTCAAACAAGCCTTAGTGAAAGGGCAGGAAGAAACCATCCCAATGCACAGGAAGACTAGCAAGTATGGCAGAAGACCAGCTTGGCTTGGCAGGGAAGTCTTCAGTAACCTACATCTCAAAAAGGAAGCTTGTAAGTGGAAACTTGGACAAACAACTAGGAAGGAGTATAAAAACATTGCTCGGGCATGCAGAGATGAAGCCAGGAAGGCCAAGGTACAACTGGAGTTGCAGCTAGCAAGGGACGTGAAGGGTAAAAGAAAGATTTCTACAAGTAGGTTGGTAGCAAGAGGAGGATCAGGAAAAGTGTGGATCCCTTCCTGAATGGGGGAGGCAACCTGGTGACAGAGGATGCAGAAAAGGCTGAAATGCTCAATACCTTTTTTGCCCGTCTTCACTGGCAAGGTCAGGCCCCAGACTGCTGCACTGGGCAGCAAAGCCCGGGAAGGAGGTGAGCAGACCTCAGTGTTAAAAGATCAGGTTAGGGACTACCTAGAAAAGTTGGACGTGTCCATGGGTCTGGATGGGATGTACCCGAGAGTGCTGAGAGTTGGCTGATGTAACTGCACAGCCACTGGCCATCATCTTTGAAAATTCATGGCAACTGGGGGAGGTCCCAGTTGAATGGAAGAGGACAAACTTAGTGCCCATTTTTAAGGGAAAAGAGGATCCAGGGAACTACACCAAGAGCAAGTCATGCCTGACCCACCTGACTGCCTTCTATAATGAGGTGACTGGCTCTACGGATGCAGGGACACTGGTGAATGTGGTGTACCTTGATTTTAGCAAGGCTTTTGATACGGTCTCTCACAGCATTTTTACAAGCAAGCTGAGGAAGTACAGGCTGGATGAATGGACTGTACAGTGGACAGGAAGCTGGCTGCAGTGTAAATCAGGTTTAATGTCTAGTTGGCAGCTGGTATCAAATGGAGTGCCCCAGAGGTTGGTCCTGTGGCCGGTTTCATTTAATATCTTCATTAATGACCTAGAAGATAACAGAGTGAACCCTCAGCAGGTTTGCAGAGGGCACTAAGCTGGGGGTGTAGATATGCTGAAAGGTAGGGCTAGGATTCAGAGCTGGACAAATTGGGAGGATCGGGGCAAAAGAGATCTCCTGACGTTCAGTAAGGACATGTATAATGTCCTGCACTCAGGACAGAACAATCCCATGCAGCAGTACAGGCTGGGGGTTGACGGGCTGGGCAGCAGCTCTGCAGAAAAGCCAAGAAAGCTTCATAGACATGAGGGCTGGAAGGGACCTTGGGAGATCACCAAATCCAGTCCCCTGCCCCCAGGGCAAAATGGTTAGCGACATCCTGGGCTGCATTGGTAGGAGCACTGCCAGCACATCAAGAGAAGTGATTCTTCCCCTCTATTTGGCACTGGTGAGGCCACGTCTGGAGTCCTGTGCCCAGTTCTGGGCCCCCGCTACAGAACGGATGTGAACACATTGGAGAGAGTCCAGTGGAGAGCAGTGAAGGTGGTTGAGAGGCTGGGAGACAGGACTGGTGAGGAGAGGCGGAGGGAACTGGGCTGATTTAGTCTGCACAAGAGAAGACCGAGGGGGATTGAATAGCAGCCTTCACCTCCCTGCAGGGGGGCTGCAAAGAGGATGGAGCTGGACTGGTCTCAGCGGGGGCAGACAACAGGACAAGGAGCAATGGGCTCAAGTTGCAGCAAGGGAAGTTGAGGTTGCATATGTGGAAAAACTCTCTCAGGAGGAGCATAGTAAAGCACTGGAACAGGCTCCCCAGTGTGGTGGTGCAGTCTCCATCCTTAGAGGTGTTTAAGACCTGGGTAGACAAAGCCTTGGCTGGGACAATGTAGTT